GCACTGCCACACTGTCCACCTGGAGCCTGTGGGGTGCCAACCCTCTTGCTCACCCAGGCAACATCTGAACTGTCCCCCTGTTCTTACTAGGGCCCTGGTTCGCAGGAGGAGCTGGCTGCTTGCTGTGGGGCTGAGGCAGGTCACCGGAAGCCCAATTGCAAGACTGAGCCAACTGAGCGTCCCATGCCCTCTCTGTTCCTTGGTTTTGCGACTCCTACATCTGCCTGGCTCCCCAGGCCCAGCACCTCCCCCCACCCCCAATGCCCAGACTCCCTGCCCTGGGGCCACAGGAACCCCAGACTCACATTGACTGGATACTGGGACACATCAGCCATCACCACGGTGGAGTAACGCTTCCTCTGCTCTGTAGGGGACAGGGTGGTGAGCCCCACAACCCAGGACCCCCAGCCCTTCTCCCTCAGACCCAGGAGTCCCAACCCCTAGCCTTCCTCCCTCAGACCAGGGGTCCTGACCCCCACAGCCTTCCTCCCTCAGATCTGGAATCTTGGCCCCCAGCCCCTCCTCCCTCAGATCCAGGTCTAGGACCCCTGTCCCTCAGACCTGGGTTCTGTCTGCCTGGGTCCCCTTGCCCCCTGAACTCACCATAGATAGACTTGGCGCTTGGTTTGGGGGCAGCTTCAGGTCTAGGGAACGTCAAGAGGGGAGAGTGAGGTCGTGAGACCTGGGGTTTCAAATGCCCCAGGACTGTATTGTGAGGGCAAAGGGGAGCCATAGAAGGTTCTCAGCAGGGGCGGGAGAGCAGGCCCAGAGCTGGACTATGAGAAGACAGGGAAGGCAGGCCGTGGTGCTGGTGACTGTGGGCTTGTGGAACCACCTGGATTCCAATCCCCTGTCTGCTGGGTGGGGGGCAGGTGGCTTCACCTTCCCTGCCTCAGTCTCCCCCTCTGTACGGTCGGCTCACCCCTTGGCATCCATCTGGTTGGGCTGTTGTGAGCATCCCTTGAACTGTGGGCCAGGTTGTTTGACGCTCAGTAACTATTATGAGGTTTCAAAGGGCTTGGCATACAGTAGTCACTCAATAAATGAGTCAACTCGCATTCGTGTGCATCACAGATGGAGAAGTCCCTTCTCCCCTCCCGCCTTCGGGGGCCAGGCTCGCCCCAGCTAAATCCTCCTCGTCCCTTTCTTCCTGCAAGTGGAGTACCCCCAACAATCATGGGGTCCTTCTTTCGGGAGAAAGCAACAGAAGCTCAGAGCTCAGGTTGGGGGGAGGGGGCCTGAGAAACTCCTTTAGCCATCAGCCCCCTATTCTTTATCGTGGGGACCATGTCAAGCCTTCCCACCATTTGATTACCCCTGATCTGGAGAGCTCCCTACCTCTAAAGTAAGCAAACAAACAAACAAACAAACAAGCTCACTGCCACGCAGTCGATCCTGACTCACAACGACCTTACAAGGCAGGGGAGAACTTCCCTTGTGGGTTTCTGAGACTGTCACTCTTCTCATGTAATCAATCATTAATTACTTAATTAATTTATTATTATTATTTGTAAAAATAATTGTATTGGGGGCTCTTACAGCTCTTATCACCATCCATCCATCCATCCACCTATCCATCCATCCATCCATCCATCCATCCATCCATCCATCCATCCATTGTGTCAAATACATTTGCACATAGGTTGCCATCATCATTTGCAAAACACTGTCTTTCTACTTGAGACCTGGGTATCAGCTCATATCCCGCCCACCTCCCTCATGAACCCTCTGAGACTGTTCCTCTTTATGGGAGTAGAAAGCCCCATCTTCCTCCACCGGAGAGGCTGGTGGTTTTGACCTGCAGACCTCGCACTTAGCAGCCAATGCATAACCACTACGCCACCAGGGCTTCTTCACTGTCCCTCGTGCAACTGTCTCTACCCATCCCTTTGTGCTATTTTGGGCTCGCTCCAGGAGATTGGAGCCCTTCACTGTTGGGAGGGAAGCCCCTGGGTTTCTAGGAGACAGTTCACATATATATATAATTTTATTGGGGCCTTTTATTGTCACATCCATTGTGACAGCTCATATTTATGGACAAGCTATCTCCCTTGCGGAGCAAGGAGGAGGGGAGGAAATCGGAGACTCAGAGAAACATCGGTCCACAGGCCCAATGGGCCGCAGGAACCTCAGACAGAGACCCGAAGCACTAGTTCGTGCCCAGCCACCACGACCAACTACTTTAAGCTTTGAAAGGGATCTCGTTGGAAGGTCCAGAAAAGAGTGCAGGGCAAATGTGGGACAACATTCAAAATCACAAGAGAGAGCAGGCTCACTGGTCAGAGAGAGACCAGTGGACCCCTCGCGATGACTGAGGTGGCCCTCCATCACCCTTCAGGGGTGGCACTGAACTCACCCTTGCGGACAACAGATCTATAAGAGAAACAGTCACGGCAGATGGGTAGCACTCTTTAGAACAACCAACCATCCGAGATGCGAAGGACAGGTGGGAAGGGAGAGCAGGAAAGGTGGGGAGAGGAACAAGAAAAGCAGGCAGGAAGTGGAGAGAGGGTGCTCACACTGGCGATAAACAAAGGTCATGAAACAGAATGTGCTCAAACTATAGACTGGAAAACCAATTTGCTCTGTACACATACACTCCCGCCACAGAATCAGAAAAACACATTCCACTCCTCGAGTCCCCGAAGAGGGTTTCAGAGGCTGTAAATCTTCAGGGGAGCAGACGGCCTCATCTTTCTCCCAGGGAGTGGAGGTGGGGTTTGAACCGCCAACCTCACCCACAGAGCCCCTTGGGAGTTTGTGGGTTTTAAAGAACAGGGTAACTTTCCCTGAAGCACTAGCAGTTGCTGGTGGAGCGCCTGTCGCCTGGCACAATGCCCTAGAGCCCTCACATTCCCATTCCTCCCGGAGCCCAAGGGAGTGGCTGATGGTCCCAACCCAGAAGGGACCCGGCCCAGTGTCCCCTCCAGAGCCAGAGCCCAGCTGGGCCAGAGGGAGTCAGTGTGTGCACGTGGGGTGCGGGCACTTACCCGGCAGGGGTGCTCATGGTGCAGAGATGGGGTGCTCCTGCCACCTGGGGACCAAGGAGGGAGGATGCTGACCTGTGGTTCTTTTCCCCCACTCCTCCCTCAGACCAGGAGTCCTGACCCCCAGCCCCTCCTCCCTCAGACCAGGAGTCCTGACCCCCAGCC